CGAATCTATAATTCTATTCTTGTCTGGAAAAAATCTCTACCCCATCACGTTTTTTAATGGTAGATACGCTAGATGAAGACTGCAGTACGTAGTCTACCAACTACTTTTATAAGAAATATCTCAATTTTACAGCAAGAGATCACTATCAATTTTATTACAAGAAATCACTACCACTTTTAAAGAAAGAATTAGTATTAGTTTATAGAGCTAAAAGCAATAAATAATTTTTTTTTAAATAACGGCAGGCACGGAACTTACGTTCTTCGCCTTAGAAGATGCCGGAATTGTTGCTCATTTATCGTTACCCAGTGGTCACCTGTGAACCAAAGTCACGGAGGCGAGCAACATTACCCACGCCACACTGCCACAAATACCCGTTCATAGTGTGGGCCACAGTCATACATTCACACATCAGAAGACAACAGAGAGAGAGAGAGAAACATCCAAGCCCAGAGCGGGATTCGAACCAGCAACCATTGGTTTCGCAGTCAGGCACGCTAACCACTCGGCCGCCTGGCCGGCTATAAATATATCAACTATCAATGTGTCCACGTTTGAAAGAAAAGAAGAAAAAAAAGTCTTTAACGAAACAACACTGTTTTGAACAACATATCACTTTCTTCAGCTATAAGTCACTTTCTTTTCAAAATATTATGTGTCTCTTGTATTTACTTACCCTTTTAATTTTTAATTATTCTACTCTTTATGCAAGTTAAGTTTTACTTTGAGTAAGAGGTGACGAAATGCTTTTAAATATATCACAAGAGGCTTATTTTTTTACACTGCACTTGTATTGCAAAATGGTATGCGTCTCCTATATTTATTTAATCTTTTAATTTTTAACTATTCTACTCTTCTTGCAAGTTACGTTTTACTTTAAAAGTTTTACTTTGAGTAAGAGGAGAAGAAACACTTTTAATTATACCATAATAGACCTATTTTCTACACTGTACTTGAACATTTAATTTTTACTAGTTTAGAATAAATAATGTACATGTACTGAATGCTTAGTCTGTAAAATTAATCCAACTTTTATGAGTGTAGACGTATCTTGATTTCATTTTTGGTGTTAAATTATAATAAGATTTTTCAAAGGCTCTATAAAGTAATATTACTTTATAGAGCCTTTAAAAAAACGTATTTACCTTATTTACTGTTTCCAATTTTAAAACTAAAACTTTCCCATTCCTCATTAAAATACAAATAATCGGTTTCAAATGAGCATCGTGAAAATGCAATTGTGAATGTAGCTAATGACCATAATCTATACAAATTCATAGTTATTACTTACCAAAGATAACTGCTTTATAACATGAGTAATTGAGTTCCAAACACATTTTTTTTCTTCATTTTAGCTTACAATATCTATACTTTGTGATATTTTGGCTTGGAAAATGAATTATCCTATTTCGAAATAAAAGTCTTACTTTTTTTAGTAGAATAATTTATATTTCGGAAAAACCATTAGAAATCCATTAACGTAAAAGTAACATCGCTTTTCGAATAGTTGACTTCCTTGCTATTGTTGCACATATTATTGAACGGGGTTACGCTTTTGTATGTGAAATGCAGATACTGAAATAGAGTACATCACATTAACAAGAATTTAAAAATTATATTTAGGTAGTTTATACCTAAGTTATTTTAATTATTTAAATGTATCGAGTTTATTCCTCTGATTATGATTATTAAAAGTTACCTACTTATAAACATAGGGAGGATTTATAAATAAATTTTAAGCAATATATATATCAACGCTTTCCAGTAAAAGCCCGAAACGAGGGATTTTCTTTATTATAACTTTTGCGATTATGCATTAGTTCAGCTTTTTCACATGGGATCTCATTAAAGAAATGGCATAAAGAATTCTTTTTGTTTCTTTAATTTCTTGTAAAATATGTAATATTATGAAAAACAACTCATCGACAGTTCCATCGACCTAATCTTAAATCATACCTTATTTTTATGAGTTTCGCAATTTACATTTTCAATTAAAAAATAAAGTGTGTTTTAACCCTTCACATTTTACATTTTATGGTACTCTTTCGTCAAGGGGAGTTTTTGACGATGGTAACATTTTTTCGCCAAATTAAACTGTAAACATAATAATAAATTGATATAATCACTATTAATTATTTTTAATAATTTAATTACTCAAGGGTTGTAAGTGCCATTCCGCGGTTTACCCTAAATTGACTAAGATTAATTGCAACTTTACGGAATCCTTTACACTATAATTTTCAAAGGTTAATTATCACTGGTTAGTATACATTCCACACATGTTTTTTTAACCTTAAACTAACTGTCACCTAGTTTTCTTAAGGTTGAGTGTGAAGGTTTGGTACATATTTGTCTAGTATACCATACTCTGAAGCATTTTAAGGTTAATTGTCACTTCACTGTATACCCTTCAGTAATGTATTTTAGGTTAAGTAACCTTGCCCGGTATTGGTTTATTTGGTTTATCTAATATACCCAACACTGATTCTTTTAAGGTTAAACGTCACTTTCCTCGATTTTCACTATACTTAAAATTGAAATGGAAAATTGACTTTCGGTCCTGAATTCACCTTGGTTGAATATATATATATATATATATATATATATATATATACCTACAAAACTTTATGTTTAACTTCAATACTGAGAAATGGAAAAGTAACTCAATTAAGACTGTTTACTTAAAATTTTATGTTAATTTCAGATATATTGATTAAGGCATTTTCTAAATAAAATTAGTTTCATACCAGGTACTTCTAAGTACTTCAAATTATTAGACAATAAATTAGTCAAATATCGAAATTATTAGCCAAATTTCAAAATTCTTAGTCAATGGCNCTCCGCAGAGGATCAAAATTGTGATGGCATGTCTTCGGATCATCCTCCGGGATGTTTCCCAGACCGTCGCCAATAGCCCATTGTGCAGCTCTAGTGCGACGTAAATTAACAACAACAACAACAAATATATATATATATATATATATATATTTGAAGTACCAAATGGTGGGAGAAATAATGTTTCACACTTTTTTATCTGACTCGGTTGTTGTATGGACTTGGAACTAATAAAATAAGGTGAGGAGCATTTAGACATCTCACAAATCAGCTAGAACTTGCCACACTTTACTGGAATCGGAGATAAACTTAGAAAATTGAATTATACCTCGAAAACACTGAAACACTGCACACACACGAATCGATATACACACACTATTTATTTCCTCAAAGCTCAAAACACAACAATTAAATTGGGATGTACAAAGCGCCACCTGTGGGCTGTAAAATTAAACATACCGCTCCCTTGAAACACGGAGGGGTTTCGAAATTAATGAATTTAGTAACCTAATTTAGCAACATAATAATTAACTTCAATTGACAATAAAGTACACTTCTAAATTAATGAAATTAAGTAACTGGATTTACAGATGAATAGATGACTTCTACAATGATAGAAGAAAAATTAGGCATAATTACAAATGTACAAGTGTTTATAGGAAGTAGGCACAGTTTTGTAATTGGTCTCACAAGGTCACCAGTGTGAGCTTTTAACTAAACCACACGAACTTTATCGTCCTTTCCAGGGAATTTTTCCGTGACCTTCCGTAACTTCACTGTAGTGGGGGTTTGTCGTGTTTGATTAAAGCATGATCTCAGATGTCAAGGTATTTTTGAGAGATGCGCCACTTCGACCTTGATTGTAGCAATATCAAGTACTCTGAAGACCATCTATTCCAGAAATGTTGGGTCATTCTTGTAAGCAATCGCCAACGGTCGCAGTGGCGGATGTCGCCTGGAACCGTAGGTTGTGGAATAGCTGATGCCTTTCCTATCAGGAAATGTCCTGGCGTCAGAACAGACGGATCATCTGGACTGCTAGATAATGCACATAGTGGTTTGGAGTTAAAACATGCCTTGATTTGGTTTGACAGCGTGGCCAGTTCCTCGAAGGTGAGATTAGCATCTCCAACAACTCTTTTCAAATGAAATTTCAACGATTTCACTGTAGCCTCCCAAATGCCTCCGAAGGAGATGGAGGATTTAAGTGAAAGGCGATGTTGTCTGTTACCAGGAATTGATGAAGGCCGTCTTCCTTCATAAACTGCCGGAACTCCTTTCTGAGCTCTTTGATAGCTCTGTAGAAATCGGCTCCTTGATAGCAGAAGGTATCTAAAGGTCTACATCTGCGTGCCACAAATCTTTTTAAGCAAATCAATAAATGCTTTTGAGGTTAAGTCGATGACGACTTAAACGATGAATTGCCTTCATTGCGAGGCAGACGAAGGTGCATATGTAGCACTTAATATTGCGGCTGCCTCTTTACTTGGAGCTCCGTATCAAGAATTAGCCGGTGAAATCAAGACCAATTAGTTGGAATATAGAAGAGGGACAAACTATGGACTCTGGAAGATCTCCCATGATTCGTTCGGCGAGCCTTGGACGATTTCTGAAGCATGGGATACATCTTTTCGCCACTCTTCTAACTGCATCTTTGGCTGAAAGAATCCAAAATGTTTCTCTGAGAGCTGCTTGGAGAAGTTTCGGATCGGCATGGAGAGTTTCAAGTGATAATCAGTGATAAGTAAGTTCACAACATGGTCGATTTTAGGAAGCAGGATGAGATGCTTTTTTGATTCTGGAAGCATCGTATTTTTCATGCTACCACCGACGCGAATTATTCCGGAATCACCGTAGAATGGAGTCAAGGGAATAAGCTTGTTATTCTAAGGAAGCTGCTTACCTATTGAAAGATAGGAGAAAATGATCGTGTTGGATGAATTTTACAATTCTCTTCTCGGCTTAATGCAATTCTACCGCTGTTAAGAAAGGCTTATTTCTTTTATCTGCTGCAACAGAACAGTTCTTCAGAAATCTTAAACAATAGGCAACTATTCTTTTCAGCTTGTTCCAAAACGAAAATTTTTGAACTCTGCCTTGAAAGTAGCATCAACCACATTCAGCATAATCAGCTTGGATGTCCTTTTGGCTTCGACAGACATGTTTTATTGTAATTGTGAATTATCCTCAAACCTTCCATTAGGAAAAGTAGAACTATTTAACCAATCAGGTCCGTTGAACCACAAGTCGCACTTTTCTAGTTTAGTTGGGGTTATCCCTCTCGTTCCACAATCAGCAGGATTCTTCAAACCACTCACGAAGTTCCAGTGCACGTTAGGAGTCAGCTCTTGAATTCGTGTTACTCGATTATCTGCGAACGGTTGCCATCTTCTTGGTTCGGACTTCAACCATGCCAGCGTGATCTTGGAATCAGACCATGCAAAGGTCTCAGAGATTGAAACAGTTAGCGTTGGCAAGGTAGCTTGTAACAAATTGACCAGAAGTAGGGCAGAACAGAGTTCCAGTCGAGGTAGAGACTGTGGTTTCACTGGAGTGACACTTGTGTTGGAAGTTAGCAGTCTAGATGTCACGGCTTGGTTTGCATCCTTGGAACGAATGTATACAGCTGCACAGTAGGCGTTCTCTGAAGAATCACAGAATACGTGTACTTGTACGTTTGTAGCCGGTGGAATAAGGATATAGCGTGGAATCTTGATATTTGTAAGTAGAGGAAGCTGTTTTTGAAAAAATCTCCATTGCCTTGCCAGAGAATCTGGTAGCTCCTCATCTCAGCCTAGATGATGACTACACAGCTCTTGGAGAAAGATTTTCGAAGTGATAACTGTAGGTGCCAACCAGCGTAAGGGGTCAAAGATTTTGTCGAACTTCGGAAAGTACCTTGTGTTTAGTCCATACGTCACTCTCATTGACCCTGATGGTAAAGGTGAACTTGTCAACATCTGAAAGCCAAGCGATTCCCTGAATCTTGACACACATTAGCGTAGAGAAAATCCTACTCTCTCCATCATTTCCTGCAGCTCGGACACCAGTTGAATGGCTCCCTCCTTTGTTACACTCCCGCTCAGCAAATCATCAAAGTAAAAACGACAAAGGGTAGCTCTTGAAGCGTCTGGATATTTTTCTTGTTCATTTATGGTAAGCTGTTGTAAGGTTCTCGTGGAGAGGAATGGTGCTGAGGACGTACCGTACGTAACGGTAATTAGATGATATTCTTTTATTTGTTCGGTAGGAGAATTCCTCCAAAGAATTCTTTGCCAGTCTACGTCTTCCTCATGAACTTTAATCTGGCGGAACATCTTTTCAACATCAGCGCAAATGGCTACACTGAAAAGTCGAAACTGGATGAGAATAGGGAAAAGTTCTGGTTGCACTCTTGGACCAACCAGGAGCAGATCGTTGAGAGAGAGTCCGGATGAAGTTTTACTGGAAGCATCAAAAACTACACGAAGCTTTGTTGTGCAGCTAGTGTCTCTGACAACTCCATGGTGAGGAAGGTATAAACTTTCGATTTTATTAATGTCAGAGTCCGGAACCAGTTCCATGTGATTTAAATCACGGTATTCCTTCATAAATTTTCGATAGAGGTTGTATTTCTCAGGATTAGAAATGAGATGACGTTCCACGCTGATTAGCCTACGAATTGCATTTTGTTTTGAATTACCTAACCGCGTGGGAGAAGTGTGAAA